ATAAATAGTTCGTCTTCTTTCAGGTGAGTTCAGAGACCTATCACGAAGTCAGCATTCTTGTAAGATGCATACGAAGACGATCAGAGCATAGAAACAAAGGAGAAGATAAGCTAACTAGCGACAGATTCTTAGGTTATTTCAATGGTCGGATAATCTCAAAGACTATCAAACAGCCGGCGTCAAGCTCGATGGTCGCACTTGCGCGAAATCGAAATAGATTCTTAAACTAAACTGCGACCTAGAAGCTTTCTCGCTATGGTACGTTTTCAACGATTTCGGAAACAACAAAGAAGTCCGAGTAAGTGTGGAATACCCTGTGATTTCAACAGAAAACCAGTACATTAAAGACTCCCACCTGGGTAAGTAAAATGAAACAGGAGCAAGTGTTTTGGTAAACAGAGAATGCTTACTAAATGCGTAAAAAATGCTGTTTCCATCCGTAACACAACAAGATTTCGCCACAAGTCCGCACACATTAAGTCCCAACAGAACGATCACATTTCATGTGAAATGGGTGTTCATGTCTTCCTGGGTTGTAATGCAGGGCCAACCGAACAGTTTGGTTAAACTGAGCTGTTTTCCATCACTTGTCTGGGCGTTTCGTTACGTTGTGATATGGGTTTGCTTAGTGACCAACGAACCAGCAGTCAATCCTCTGCCTGTGGAAAGTCTCACGAGAGAACTGCAGCTTAATGGAAACTGCAATCTGTCAGAAGCTGGCCTGCGCACGAGTGCGCAAAGGGTCACCGACAGTTTCCGCCAACCTAAGGACTAGTTTGCGGGATTCATGGCTGTGCAAACTAGAGTTTATGCTGCTTGGTATATTGACAAATAAATTCAGCAATGGAATATTGGCTCAGACTAGAAACCTCCGATTTAATTACTACACATTTCCTCATTGTTTAAAAAGAACGAAGAAATCGGGCAGGTTTCTGCAAACAGCTTTCTGCATCTCTCAGGTTCCCAAGATATGTGCGAGTTCCACGAAATTTTCAAACATGTACAAGGACTCCTTCAGATTTCAAAATTGACAACGAATGCTCTTATGGACAAGCAAGACTGCGGAGCGTAAAATGTCATGGCTCGGGGAGCTGTCAACTGACGTGATAACTCAGTCCCCCTCTCGGGACAGAAATCCAGGCTGCAATAGCTCCTTCTTAGTGTGGCCTCTAAAAAACTGCCACTCAGTCAGAATCCGAGTCGTCCATTCATTGTTTGTATCAAGACCTGGTCCATCGTCCTCGGAGCGGGCCTGTGTGGCACGCGCAGACTGGCTGTTTAGCCACGTCAATCACTGCGAAGAATCCCGCCTCCGGTCTTCTTGACTCCGGGCGCAGGTGGGCGAGAGGAGGTAGTGCGGCAGATGAGGTGCAATTTCACTGATACTATGAACCAATGCCCACGTAAATCACGGTCCATCCACCCGACATGCTGCTGAGCGGGCGGGGACATCGCCGTCCTCAACAGTCCTTCTTCGAGTATAAAATATTAAGATGACGTGGTTCTCTAGCAAACGACTGAAAGAAGGCAGAATTTTATTCGAGTTTTTTTATAAGATATATTTTAATTTGAAAGACCATGGAAAATCAGTTGGAAAAATTCATGCTACTTAAGTAGTCACTTGTTACCGAGTACAGTTTCTACATGAGTTTGAAAAGCAGTGTGTTCGAAAGCTGACATCCTGCCGAGTCCAAAATATTATAGGATTATGTCGCAAGATAATCAGTATCACAACCGCGCCTGATTTCTCCTCCCCACTCGAAAACGCATTTCAGAATTTCAGCCAACATTCCATGAGATCGGTCATTCACTGTATATGCCTAAATAATATTGTGCTCACCATCCCCTGAAGAAGATGAAGAAGAAAGGACGAGTTCATGGAGCGAAATATTTGGGCTGAAGTTTTGGAAACCCTCTCGTTTTCACCATCAGACTAATGTGTTGGGTGTTCTTGCTGGCGTTGTCTGCTTCAGCCTTAATGCCCGCCTGGTATTATATCCATGCTCGACGCACGAACGATAACCTGCCCGTTCGTTGCTGATTAGTCCTAAGAAAGTCGAGATT